CAGACAATGCCAAGACCTTCAAGAGTGCTTCTAAGGAGCTTGAGAAGATTACAAATGATCCCAGTGTTGTTAAGTACTTTGCTCAAGAGAAGATCAAATGGTCCTACAACTTAGAGAAAGCCCCATGGTGGGGAGGCTTTTACGAACGACTTGTCAAGTCACTGAAGAGATGTCTTAAGAAGACAATCGGCCGAGCCAAGCTTTCCTATGATGAACTTGTAACTGTTGTTACAGAAGCTGAAATGATCTTAAATTGCCGACCCATTTCATATGTCTCTTCTGAGGACCTGGAAGAACCCCTCACACCGTCCCACCTCATTGTTGGTCGAAGACTCGGCGCCCTTCCAGAAATAGACAGTCCTGCAGATGCAGATTTTAGAATTTCGCCGGACGACCTGAGCAGAAGAGCAAGACACCTTGATATGATTCTGACTCATTTTTGGAAGCGTTGGAGAGCAGAATACCTTCTTGAATTACAAAATGCCCATAACCAATTGAAGAAGACGGCGGGATCAAGGGTAGTGTGTGTCGGAGATCTGGTATTGGTTCATGACGAAACCCACCCAAGATCTTATTGGAAGATGGGCAAGGTGGAACGACTTCTGATGAGCAAGGATGGGCAGAGTAGAGGTGCTGAGGTCAGAGTCCAAGGGAGAGGATCAAGTGGAGGTGGACTCTTAAGGAGACCGCTACAATTGTTGTACCCACTGGAAGTAAGCTGTTCTACGAATGAAGCAGCTCCTCAGGAACAAGTACTTGAATCACCGGAACAGCCGACGCAAGGTCGAGCGAGAGGAAATCGAGAGCGGCGTAGAGCTGCAGTCGAGGGAGAGCGAAGAAGAAGACAGTGGATTGCTGAATTACAAGACGAACATTAAGTTTGTTTATGTATTCTGAACATTGAACAGTTTTTTGAGAGAGAGACTATATTCACTGAGTTATCATCATTATTTTTTATTTCTTTTCGATATTTGATTCTAGGTATAGCTAGAAGGTGGACCATTCTTTATGGTCCACGGGGGGGAGTGTGCGCGATGACGTAAGAGTTTAGGAGCGCGCTAGGCCTTCTGGGAGAGATCCGAAAACGTGTTGCGTTCTTGTAGCCATCTTGACGATCTGTGAACCTTTAGTGAATTGAATCTGTGGAATCCTGTGTAATCCTTTAGAAGTTGGACCCTTCGGAGTGTTGTAACCTTTAGGAATCGAGCCTGACAATCCTTGGAATAAAATACAGTTCATATTCGCCTACAGGGTTTGGGAAGAAAATATAGATATAAGAACAAGATCATATGTTTTAGAAAACCTTTTTCTCTAAGCCCGTTTAGCTCTAATCCTGCTGAAGTAACTGCAAACAGAGCAATGAATTGCCATGGTGATTAATCATGGATTTGTGCTAAACTTTCGAACAACTCAACACAAGAAAATTTTACTTGTATTTGTTTTACTTGTAATTTCCACTGATGCGCAACAAAAGAAAACTCGGAAGAGGCTAATGGTGAGGACAGGTGAAATACACTTTACTGAATATTGAAAGATGGCGCTGTGTGACTGTTACAAGGAGAGACAAAATAATGGATTCAAAGTGTCAAGGAAGTGTCCATTTGTCCGAAATAACGAGAATTCAACTGCTGTTCCATAACCGGATTGTACTTTACATCCGGGAGTCCGAAGGGGAGTGTTACAACTGCAAAGAAAGGTGCCGAGCATTCAGTCCAACCCCCTACTGGAGACCGTAGACAACGTCCGCATTGAACGGGGCGGGGGTCCGTAGTAAGTGGGTAGGTCAAATAACAAAAAAGAGAAAAGAACATATGCGTCAACAAAATAAGCTTCCCTAAATGACAAATACCATTTTTCCTTGAACTAAGTCGTCGAAAACACGCAAAGTTAGTCAAAAGGAATTTATTTACACATTACTCAATCTGTAAAGCACTAGGGAGAACTCAGTCATTTGTTGCGGAAAATAGTGCGCAATTGACGTCAAGACTTATCTCGTCTGGTTAAGGTTATGAGCAACAAAGCGCGAAGGTTTTACATCACAGAAGAAAAATGATTGTCGAATGCGCATAAGCGAGGTTAACTGCCTATGAGAATCTGTCCATAGATTACCAATGGAAAAAGTGTCCTTTATCTGTATTAAACGTGTCTAAGAGGACAAACAAAACTGTCCATATTAAGCGAGACGGTGTTGCAAAGTGGGTTTACTGAACTTACCTCCTTCAGGTTTTTGTCAAATGCTGTCTTCACATTTCTTAAGTCTAACTGACGTTTTTGTAAATGATTAGGAGCTTTCATTGTACAGAATATCTCTTGGGTGATCTTGTCCTTAAAGCGAGGATCGTAAGTTAGTTCATACCGGTCTGGTAAGTCACAACATTGGTAATATTCTGAAGGAAAAGTAAATTCATAACACTATTTTAAAAATTTTCTAAACGGACAAAAATTTGCACGGATCCGCCTTTCACCGTTTACTGAGGACCCTTGGAACCTTGCAAGTTTTTGACCAGCAAAGAGTGCAAGTTCAGAAGTTGGTAAAATCTTCTGGTCAGCACAGTTCGACTTTTCCGCGGACTCGTTTTAACACTTGAACCACGCAAGAGTTTGTTTTTTTTAAGGCCTGGAGCCTGGCTACGCGGACTCGTAGAAACAGTGTTGCAATCTGTAAAAGAATTTGCACGGTACAGTGTAAACGGGTTGTACAGGTTATAAATTTGTCCGTTGAAAAATTTGCCGCCTAGACGTGGTCGGTCTTTAAGTGTGAATAATTAGACACAGATCTGAGCTTCGTAAGCAACCAACTGTTCATTCATATAATAAAGAAATTATTTAGCTATTGAAGTTGACTAATACCCTTGAAAACTACTTATCCTGCAGGCGCCATAAAGTTTATTCTGTTCGTAGTTTTTATTGTGAGAGGGCTCGTCCTCGAAATTTCTCCCTTGCCAAAGAAAACTGGAGTCTGCCAAGACCGTGACACTGGCCCTTTTTGAATGAATCATCCTTCCCCCGTATTCCTACCTTCAGGTGCTTCCTTTCCAGTGTTAAGAGCATGAAATACTTTGGTGGTAATTCCTTGTACTGCCTTTTTCTTATCATTTAGTCGCTTGGTCAAATCCGAGGCAAGTTTTTTGATGATTTCCCTTCCAGCAAGGTATGTTCCCTCTAATACTCTTATACCTTTTGGGTCCAGCCATCGCTAAAAAACACAAACATAAACCATGAGATAAAGACATGATTTCACCCTTCAGAGTTTTCAATGGCACTGAGTGAATGATGATTTTGAACGAAAAACTTATAACAGCATTTAACAAAAACTGATAGGAGAGACTGCCTCTCGAGTATTCTTAAATGCCACAAAAACCTGCAGATTTAGTAGAACATTTCCAGTCACAGCGCTGGATTCCGGTGAAACAATTGACGAATGAAGTACTGTTGCTTTAAAACGATCAGGAGCCTTTTCCAAAGAAAAGTTGAGGCCTAGCCAGAAACCCGGAAGGGAGGTTACTTGGGTTGATTTTTGCTGGGTATGTGCCTCTGGACCCTCGGAACCCCTACCCCGTTAGAGTTTATTTGGTGGCCATATTATAAACCCCATCGTAGTCACTTTTGGAAAAAAAGTAATTTTCACAGTCCCAGCTTAGTCACTTTCTGTTTATGCATCTACCTTATAAAGCCTTTTAACTAAGTCAGCCTAAAATGAACTGACACGTTTGTTTAACTTAATGTGGTGTAAATCTTCTTATTTTTAAATCCGTACATGCCTGAATTTTCTGACCCCCAAAATCCTGACAATGTGCGACCCCATTCTCGTAACTCTTATAAAAATGCAACCCCATAACAGTCAACCCAATCGTGAAAGTGCGACCCCATCCAGCGGCACATCCCCATAAGCCTGTTACTAGGGAGTATCCTCCCCCCACCCCGGGGCCAGAGACTCAGTTCCTCTCGCTGACCTCCTTTTCTGCGTCTTCGCTATTCCCAACTCTCAGAACAGCGTCTAAGCCATTCCCACTTACCAGAAAGAAACGGCAAAAACAAAAAACATCCCAAGAAGTTATTCAAAGATGACAGAATTTTTCAAAGTTTTTATACAGCTGGGCCCAGTTGTTCGAACACCGGTTAGTGCGGGGTTAAATTTTAACCCAGGTTTCGTTTTCTTTTTATCAAAAGCACTCCCTCGGATAATTTTCTCTATTCTTTTCGGAGTATCCAATCATCAAATTTTAGGTAAAAAGAATTAAACTAAATTTGCTTCTTAAGCTCTCATATCTGAGTTCAAATTTCGCACTAACCCTGGGTTACCTTAACCCAGCTTCGAACAACCCGGCCCTGGTGAACACTTATTAGTAGTAACCTGTATCTAATCACAATACCATGTTAGCCAAACTGTTATATGTTATCGAAGAGAATGAAAACTGTAATGTTGTGCAAATTGTTAAATAAACATCTTCATCAAAGATTGAAAGGATAAGCCTTACCTCCATTTCTTTGAGTCCAATGGCCTGTTTAGCTAGACTTTCAGTTAAATAATGGTCAAAGTCGCCTGTGAGTTGCTTTATGCTATTCGATCCGGAAGAAGGGTCAGATGTTTCTGTTTTGCTCTTCGGGCTTTTAGCATCTTCTTGTAAAGAGTAGGCAATTAAATGCCAGAAAATAATGATCTTTAAAAGAGCGGCCATTAAGGAGTCTTACGTTACAGAGCACTGAAAAGTCATCCCTTTTGTAACTTACGGAAAGCCACCTTTACGTCACAGACGCTTGCATTCTAAGTAGATGACGACGTTCTTATTAAATTTCATTTATTTAATTAACATGCGCGCGCATACTTTTTCTTTATCCTCGCGCAAAGGAAAGCACAAAAGTGTGTATAGGTATTGAACCTTCAATATTGATCTCAGATGCCGCGCGCGTGCCTTTGATCTAACACTGGATTTTTGGCCTATATAAAGAATAGTACGCTGGCTTGCTTAACTGACAGGGGGAGATAGGGGTTAAGACAAGGCGGAAAAAGTTCAGAGACAAATTTGGCTAAGAAACAGTATCCTGCTCTTTTATTAAACATGAGGCTCGTTGGCATTAACAACAGTTTTGAACATTCCAAGGTACTAGGAGACAAAACCGTACTCCAGAAAGTCCTTCTGGAAATTCAAATGCGCGAGCTTAACAAGAGTACGAGGGCGCAAGGACAACCCGTGCAGCTACAATTGAATTTTCGCACAGTCATCCAGCGACTGAAACAGGAAGAGTAACAATTGAAAGATACGAACGTGGAAAGGAAATGATTGTTTGGCTCCTGTTCCATACCCACGAAACAACAAGCTAATGTAGGGAATCGTCTCAAATTCATTGCTTAAAGTTTTTGCCTTCAAGAACGCTATAAATATCTTCTAAACTACGCCGTACGCATTCTAAATACCCGCGCACGTCTGTATTAGGAGGGTAACTAGTCACGTTACACCCCAACCAATCGTCTTGGATCCCGTAACCAACTCCAAACCCGTCCCGAACCACGGGACCGAACCCACCAAGCATTAAAGCTGGGGAGGAGAGAGTGCTGGTGGATAGGATGTTGTGATTAATCTGTTTGTAGGCTGGATCTTGGAAGATTTCAGGCACTTTTCCAGTGGACTCAGCCAGAATGCGCAGGGAAAAGAGATGACGATCGAAGCCTTGGCCTGCAAAAAGGCGGAGATACAAATAAAAACGTTGCTCAACAAAAGACAGAAACAAAATGACGCTTTTGTCTTCCCCTTTCCTTAACGTGAGCACCCACAATGAAATGAAGTCGAAGCTTGGGTTATCACAGGAATGCGGAAACGGTCTATTCTAAACGGTTTTTTTTGGGGGGGGGGGGATTCATTTTTTCATTCAGTTCATTTCACTTTTTTTATTCCTTTCGTTTTTCACGTTTATTGGTGAGACTATACAAAGGAAGACAGATTGAACGGCATTTTTCCAGGGCGTTAATTGTTACGCCTTGCAGAGTGGTTCTAATTACTGACCATTAAAACGAAGCTATTGCCGCCTGCTATGGCTGAGGAGCTGTGTTACATTTTCTACTCCCTTCGTGGTTTTGTGGCCTTAAAGTGGATCATATGGCGACAGTCAAGGGAGTATTCTCGCACATATGCACCCTTCATATTTCCAACAAGACAAAGGATCAATACCACATGATATGCAGTTAGCGTGCAAAGCGAATCAGGCAACCAGCACCTTCCTATATTACTGATAGTTGAACGGTTTAAACTTTGTGGATGACTTATTTCCTGTAGTTAAACACCGAATAGTTACTTGATAGACTTACCCATGGCTGCTTCTTTCGTTAATTTAGAATGCCAGTCCGCGGCTCGGCGGATCCTGTCCGTCATTTCTTCTACACCTGCGCGGTGCGACTTTTCGAAAGCCTCTGCGCATGCTACAGTAGCGTTACTCGCTGGCCTGATCGTCTCTGTGCGCCCGTGTTTGAACGCCGCAGTGCTGCAAGACTCGTAAGTGGGAACAAACTTGCCGCTGTGGCGAAAGATCGCCATCTACGGAATGAAAAGTTAAAATCGGACAGTGATTCTGGCAAGCCATACTACAGGTCCAGTCATTCGAACATGATTTAGAAGTACGTACGTCACAAGGTGTTCTATTTTCCAAACCTCCTCTATTAGCTATATCTGTTTGCGCATATGGCAAAAAAAAAAATGGCTATTTGTTTCCAAAAATGAAGATGAGGATGAGTATGATGACAACGACTATGATGATGATGATGACGACGATCAGGACACGAAGATGACGACGGCGTGTAAAGGGCATGTTAAAAAAAATTCACCAGGCGCGTCTTCAGTCGAAACCACACTCTTTAAGCAATGGCGATACTGGTACTTAGTATCTCAAGGTCGATACCTTAAGGCAGTCATGATTTGTTTATCAGGGGTCTAACTTACCAATTTCAGCATTTCTGCTTGTAATAAAGAAATCTGGATGGTTCGTTCAAATAAATGGTACGAAGGGAAGACACCTTCAACAAGTTAATGTCAGGTTTCAAGAGAACACACTTCAAAACTGAGATGATGCCATCATATTAAGATTTACAAGACGTTTTAAACCGAACCTGTTGCTGAACCGTGTTCGATTGACAATATTCCGGACTAAGAACAAATGGAGTCAGTTCTAGAAATACCTTGTTTTAGGATTCATTGCGTCGTAACAGCTACAAATATGGTTGCTACATTCACGTTAACATCTTTAATAGTTCACTCCATCGGTCCAAAATTTACGGCAGCGGAGTTTTGTATCAAATTCCTGCGTATTCTTATACAGGAATACGATCAATAGAATGTAACCTTAGAAGGAAGAAACTGCCATTTAAAAGCGCATTTAAGCCCAGCTACCCTTTCCTGACCAGAACTTAGGTAACCTGCAGGAAAATTTCATCCAAAAATTGAACGGAATTTCTGTCCTAAAATTACTATGTTGCTTTCTTGATACTCACGAGGCAAAATTTTGAATTTTAGCCAATTTCGTTCCGAGTCTTTGCTTCCACTGTCTATTGCCCGGGAAGTAAGAACCTCTTTAGGTTACAAGGCTTACTCAGTGTTTCTCACCTGAAAAGCAAGCTGCATGATAGCATCTGGACTGAGCTTTTTTCTTTTAATGTAATCTTTACCGTAAGTGAAAACTTGCATTTCAGCAATGTCCAGTCCCTTGATTGTATTATCAAATTTCTCCTTGGCAGCAGAAATCCCTCTTTCTGTTTCAGGTGTAAAGCTAAATTCGAGTTTTCTGACCGTCACGTCCGCGCTCAAGTTCTTTGCACTGGCCGTTGTACAGGAGGGACGTGTGGTTGTATCTTTGTAAACCTACAATAAAAGAGATCCGTAATAATAACTGGTAAGTGTATCTGTGTGACAGTCAATGTAACCCCTTCTCGTTTTACAGTTTTCTATTCGACCAACTTACTGACAGAGCCGACTCTTGACCTCAAATTTCCTGGGCTGAAATAAAATTTTCCGAGCCGTATTTTCAATAGCATAAGTGGCGAGACATTTTAAAATGGCATTCATGTTGGTTGACTATAAGCTCAATTCCCACAGTCCTTGGACGAAATGATCAATTTTCGAATTGCTGTTTCGTGATCACTCCATGATCTGAAACAATCAACTTTGGTTTCAGTTTCCCCCTGAAAGTCATTGCCCATGGATGGGAAGGGAGGAGGGAGAGAGGTATAGTAGCCGGAAGGAAGAGAGGCCGTGAGGGAGGGAGCCAGGAAATGGAGTGGGAGGGAAAGTAACGGCACTGTTTCCGACAGATTTAGCCGGCGGACCTGTGATCTAAAGATTCGGTTTTAAAATCAGCTCTGGTCATTATCTGGAGTACAAATGTCAACTTTTTGATCACGCTTGCAAAATAGCTACCTTTTCTACTTCCTGATCAGTGATGGTTCAATATCAGTGTTCCTCAGCCCCTCTACCCTTTCTGCTAAATTAAAGCACTGTTTTATACAGATGAGTGCAACCTGTACGTAGTGAACAAACAGGAGCCCTCCTTACTGACAAATGTTCACATAGTACAAGTCTGTTTATAGAAAATATGAGAAAAATAGTGCGGGACTTTCTGACGAATGAGTACCTTCAGTACGGTGACCCGCTTAAAATGTACAGGTTTCACTGTAACTGAAATTTTCAAAATTACTTTTTACCTCATTAAAGAATCGTAACACAGCAACTCCGTCTCCCCACGCATGCTCAAAATTTACAGCTGCCTTGCCGTCCTTACAAACCACCAGCTGGAAAGATTTATCGAACCATCTGTAAAAAGAAAAGAAGAAGGAAAATCGGGGGGAAAAGCATACTGTAAACAAGTCTGAAACAAAATAATCATCCGACTAATAAAACGGACAGTTTCAAAAATCTATTCCAAATGGAGAAATGTGTCAAAACGAATGGAATAAGACGCTGTGTTGTATTGTTAAAAAAAAGAAGTTCAAGAGATTAGCTATAGAGAAGAAGGCTGACAGTTCGTATAATTCATTCAGCGATAAATGAGTTATGAATGATGAGTTATTTTCTTCTGGCCTTACCGTTCCAATAATTGTATTCGGTGCCTATTCCGTCTTCGACAACAAGGACGGAAAACTATAAGATCTGCCTCTTCCCCAGATCATTGATGTGAAAATAGCGCAGTTTACCTTCGCGCGGTCTCATGCTTGATTTCTTTGGGGAGGGGCGGGGGGGTGCTTGTTCATTTAATTTTGTCCAAGATAATGATTGTAGTTTCAATGCTGACAATTTCTGCGACTCATGACATATCTAACCTGTTTGTTCCATCGCCGTGAAGAAATGTTCTTGCTACATCTGCAACACTTTCCACTCCATGATCATCCAAACACAGTACAAAAATAGCACTGTCAATCAAACGCAGCGCTTCCTCGTTACCAGGCTCCGCCTGCAGGGCACGTCGAATGTTTGCCCACGTGTCACGGTTCTCAGTAGTCAGAGCCGCAACTGGGAACTTAGGGGGAGGGGAGGGGTCTTCTACAATATGCTTCAAATTCTGGTAAATGGTAGCGGTTGGCACTATATCACCTAAAACGGATACAAAACAGTAAGGAAATGATGTTTCTTCAGTTAATGACGCAGGGGAACGAGGAAAAAAATGAGTTCTACCAACAAGAGTGGTTGCTACCACTTAGCCATAGCAGACTTGTGCGAGCTAAGGCCTCATTTGAACTAGGTAGTTGATTTAGCAAACATCCTACATACTACTAGGGCTCGAATGTTGCTTTGTCGCCTTTTACTCATGATTTAATAAGGACGGCGAATTTTTAGCCTTATTACAAAGTAATAGGATCAGTTCTCAAAACGAATCACTTAAATCAGTAAAGGTATAGGGTGGTTGTAGATGCGCTTTGATAATATGCATACAAAGAAGTTATGCAGGACTGGTCCGTTGCAATGTGAAATGTTTATGAGGCTACTGTTCATAATAACCGTTAAATGGTTCGCCTGTGACAAAAGTAGATCCTTCTTCCATCCATTGTAACCCACTATTAAAGCCATGTTCCGCTAAGCCAGATACATTTTTGGTCGTTGGTAAATCGATCCGTCATCGTGTGGAAAGATGCGGTACAAAACAGCGTAAAATTGCCTCAAGTTGCTACTGCGGGCAAGTGACTCGTTTTCGAGTAAATCCGACAATTGCGTGCAACGGCGGAACAGGAGTTTTTCTTAGGGGTACGCATAGGGACGCGTAGGTAGGGTAAATTAATACCGCTAAGATCGATCATCCGATTACCTGTTCACATGACACTTTTTGTGTCTACCCGTATAAGGTAAACAGAAAACTCGCTCTAGCTGGGACAGGCAGTAAGTTAGCGATGTGTCTGCGCTATAAGGAGTCCAACAAAAACACTCACTGCAGAACTGCAGGGCCCAACTCTGGATAGAGAGGTGTCCCTCTTAGAGATCGAGGTGTCCATCAGGTGTGAGATGACTTTACCAATGAAAAAGCACACGATGTTAAAACTCCATGTAAATATTAATTAATTCAACACAAAAAACTGTTTAGATTCTTACCATCAGTTGTAATGGTATCGAAAACATAAAAGTTTCCTTTCCTCATGACCACCATGTGTCGAGCATTCTCAAACGTGGATAGCCTGTCTTTTTTCACCTCAGGTATGCGGGTTGAACAAAACAACCTGGCGTATTGACTCATATCTAAAGGAAAAGCCTTCACTAAAAACGCGCCATACCAGGAAAGCTTCCGGGGAACAAACCTGCATGTGCCATAAACTGGTTATTAGTGTCATGAACAAAGCATCAACTGAAATTGAAATATTGCTATTGTTACTTCGACGTGTCAAGAACAAAAATGTTTCCCTTAGCTGGGAACTAAACTTTTAGCAAATTCTGCGAAAAAAAATGTCTTATCAACCAACAAGACCGATATCCAAACAATCATTGTTCTGGGTGACCCTGTAAAAAACATTTGTTTTTGTTTTTTTAACTGCCTTTTGAGAGTTTTTCTACCCCTAACTCGTTCCCTTCCACACCGTAGTTTAGTTTTTACTTTTTACCGAGTTACTGAACCCCTACCGAACCTCTAATCCCAGCGTGAGGAGCCGGGTAATAGGGTTGAGGCTGGCTTTGGTGGGCGGGGCTCATGGCTGGGCATGAGTTTTCTCCTGACCTGGGTTTGGGTTGGTTGTACCATTTGCAACCTACAACCCCGGACAGAATAGTTGCAACACTTAGTCGATTTCCCCCGCTTCCCATTCACAAAGTTGAAAATCGCTCAAGCTTTCCCAAACTGCGCTTTTGAACACCACTGCACGGGGGCGAGGGGACTGTACTGTGCATGCCCCAAAAGTGGAAGTGTTCCAAGTTATTTTGACCAGGGTTGTAGGTCAGGGCATGACAAAAGTGCTGTCTCATTGCTTGAGGCCCACGGTGCTAGCATAGTTAAATTACAAATCATTGTCCGAAAGTCAAGTAACATTTGCCGATATAAAATACATGAACGAGAAAAAGTGGATTGGTAAGACTGCACAACTTCTCTGGGCTAGCAGGCTTTAGCAGCAGCTTTGCCAAAGGGCAAGCGATTTCATCTCACCCCTCAGGTGTTAACCACCGTAAATGGATTCAAATTGAAAAGCTGAAATTTATCCTAACTCTACAAAAATGCACTTGAAACGTCACCTTTTTCATCCCTTTACAGTGTAATGTACAACATGTAGCAGACCGTGCATCCCAGTGGTCCTTAGATAATGTAAAGAATTTTATTGGCTGAATCCTTCTGTGTAACAAGGCTTGATGTTCTAAAGGCGGTAAAGCTCAAAAACTAGTCGTTTCTCTCAATAAACGCTATCCGTACTCAAGACTACAATCAAAGTTCTGCTATGTAACACTACGCCCGGTCACGTAGATCAGATAACATCTAAATTCTAAATTAGTCAAAACAACAAATCTCTGTGCGGTTTCAAGTGTTCATTTTCCTAGGCTATTTCCGCTATTTCTATTGTTCTATTAGTTTCAGTTCAGTGTTCATTGTTCATAGGCTCGATTTCTTGACACTCCCCCCTTGACCAACTGCTCACTGTTGGTCAAGAAGTCTCCTGATCTTGTCTGCAGTAGCTGCTGCTGCTCGTCTCGGTGGTCTCACAAGTTCAGCTGGATGGTCAGGCTGCTGGACAATTCCAGCTTCCTCGGTTCCGACGTGTTCGTTTTGAGGCAGGTTTCCGGTGTTCACTTCCAGTGGGACAAGTTTCTGCACTGCTCTCCGCAGCGTTGAGGGCTTTCCCTTCTTGCTGATGGCTCGCAACACAGCACCTCGTTTGTGTCCATCTTTGCTCTCGATCAGCTCGGTGATTTCTCCTAATCTCCACTTGCACCTCGCTAGACTGTCGTCGTGGATCAGAACGACGTCTCCAACCTTGACTTCTTTGTTCTGATTTCCTCTGGTTCCGCAATAATGAAATTCTCTCAGTCCAACAAGGTACTCGTTAGACCATCGTTTCCAGAAGTGTTCTAGTAGTCTGCTGAGGTAACGCGCTCTCCTTTCAAGGCTGGAGGCGGTTTCTTCATTATCGCTTAGCTCGGCGGGGTTTGGTAGTGTGGCAAGTCGTCTTCCAATGACCAGGTGCGATGGTGTAAGGGGTTCTTGATCTGTGATGTCTGAGTAGACATATGTGAGGGGACGTGAGTTTAGTACTCCCTCCACTTCTGTTAAGACTGTAAGTAGCTCTTCAAAGGACAGCTGCGCCTTTCCGAGAACTTTGCGAAGGCTTCTTTTTTACTAGTTGTACCATACGCTCATAGTAGCCTCCCACCATGGCGCTTTTTCTAGAATAAACTTCCAAGTGATCCCTTGGTTGGCGGCAAAATCTTGCGTTCTCTTGTTCTGAAGTAGTTGTCCTAGCTCCTTGTTGGCTCGCTTGAAGGTCTTCGCGTTGTCGCTTGTTATGGAGGCTGGTCTCCCACGTCTGGCTATGAACCTCCGCAAGCATCTGACGAACGCTTCCGTTGAGAGGTCTGGTGTCAGTTCTAGGTGTAAGGCTCTCGAGGTTGCACAGGTGAATAGGCAGATGTACGCTTTCTTCATCTGTTTAGTAATGCCGCTGGTGCTTTTCACGTACACAGGGCCGGCGAAATCCACTCCCACATGGGTGAAGGCCGGGCTTCCGGAGACTCTTGATTCAGGTAGATCAGCGGTCGGTGGTGGTCTGTACGGCACTCCCTCTCTTTTCTTACAAATAACGCATTGATGCAGGATCCTCTTTACGTACTGTCTCCCCTTTGGAATCCAGAAGTTTGTCCTTACTTCGACTAAAGTTTCCTTCACTCCTCCGTGATTGGTCTTCCGGTGGCAGGCTTCCACAATCAGTCTTGTCACGTGATGCCGCCTCGGTAATAGTGAGGGGTAACGGGTTTCGACACTCAACGGGGCGTTTCCAAGTCTGCCTTTGCACTTCAGAATGGTATCTTCATGTCTGAACAGCCCAAGCTGCTGTTTAAGGTTCTCAAGTTCCTCTCTCTTTCAAAGGGCTTTTGAACTTCACGGATCCAAAGTACTTTCGCTTCACTGATTTCTTCAGCTGTAAGGGTGGTCTGTTTACTTTGTGCTTCTCTTCTCTCGGTCTTTGCTGACTTCAGATTTCTGATGAACTTCAGGCTGAGAGCTGTTACTCTGAATAGTTTAGTGGCATCGCTGAAACGTTCGCAGTCGATGATTTCAGCCAGCTTTACAGGATTGCTAGGCTCTGTGGTCAGGTTAACCATGGTAGTCACATTCGAAGGTTTTTGTTCCTTTGCTTTAAATTCCGTCCTGCATTCTTCTGTCAGATCTTCTTCTTTTGAGACTTCAGAGGCCGGGTAGTTCTTCGGTGGGCCCTTTAACCAGGCGGGGCCCTCCACCACAGGCGGTTATCCACGAGCTCAGATGCGAGACACCCTCTGGAGCCAACGTCAGCAGGATTTTCAACTCCAGGACAATGACGCCAGCTCTTCGCATCGGTCAACTTGTGGATCTCGTCTATGCGGTTCTGCACAAACTGCTTGTATTCTTTGTTGGACTGTATCCAGTAGAACACTGTAATACTGTCGGTCCAACAAAAGACTTCTTTGGTGTTCAATACCTGGGCTAAGGCTTCTTGTACGGTAGAGATCAAACGGGCCAGGATTAGTGCGGCAAGCAGCTCGAGTCTGGGAATACTCATAGGCGAAGATGGCGTAACTCTGCTCTTGGCTGCTACGAGGCTTGTTTTGTAGCCATCTTCGGTTTCAATGCACAGGTAGACTACTGCACAATACGCTCCCTTTGAAGCATCTCCGAATCCGTGTAGAGTTGCAAACTTAATTCTTCTTTCTTCTTCTGGGAAGTAATAACGATTCACAGTCATTTCGCCAACTTTTTCCAGGTCAGTCAGCCACTTTTGTAGGCGGTTTCTTCCAGGTTGAGGGGTGAGGCTGTCCCATTCACACTTACTTAGACAAAGTTCTTGCAGCAGCATTCTTAACACCACCATCACTGGTGATATCAGTCCTAGAGGATCAAACAGTTTGGCTGCAATTCGGAGAACGTTTCTCTTTGTAGGTTCCAGGTTTCTGGCGAATTCGACGATCTTATTCAGCTTCATAACAATGGTGTCTTCCTCCAGGTTCCAATTTGTTCCGAGGACCTTATGTTCCTTTGTGGGGTCGATTTCTTCTAGGCCGCCAACGGTGATCTTTGCGTAAGATTGTTCTTCGTCTGATGCGGATTCTTGTTTCCCAAGACGTTCTCGTTTCATTCTGTCACTTGAAATCTTCTCAATGACTCCTCTTCTGTTCGACGCCCATTTGCGTAAGTTGAAACGCCCAGCTGCGAAGCAAGAATTAGTCTCCTTGTAAATGGAATACGCTTCTTCATCATCTTCGCCGCCAGATGTCAAATCATCCACGTACAGGCCTGCTAGAGTGTACTCTGCTAAGGCTGAGTCATGTGCATAGTACTCGGTAACATGGTGCCGTAGTGTCGCGTTGAGCAGGAACGGAGAACAGTTCATACCGAAGATAACTCGGCAGAAGCGATAGATCTCAACATTTGGATCGTCCTTTGTAACGTCGTCAATCCACAGAAATCGCATCAGGTCTCTTTGCTGCTCATCCACTGCGATATTCAGAAAGGCTTTCTCAATGTCGGCGACTAATCCAACTTTATGGGCTCTGAAACGCATCAAGATGTCTGCAATACCAGGGGTCAGCGGTGGACCAGTGTGAGTGCAATCGTTCAGGGAAGGACAGCTTGGTTTCACTTTGGCACTTGCGTCAAACACCACTCTCAATTTAGTCGTTAAGGCGTCGCTTCTGATAACGGCCTGATGGGGCAAATAGTGCGTCTGACCTGGTAACTGTTCTTCGGTTTCATCCACACGTTCAATGATTCCATGGTGCAGTTGATCTTGGAAGATCTGGTCGTACTCTTTCATGATAGAAGGCTCTTTTCTTAGACGTCGCACGAGGGAGTTCAGTCTTGCAAGGCTTAGATCGTAGTTGTCAGGCAGTAGGTCTCGGTTTTTCTTTCAAGGGAAGCTTCACAGAATATCGGTCGTTTGCGAATGAAATGTTCTCTAGAAATGCCTCATGGACAGTTTCTTTCTCTCTAATCCCGATTGAATCCAGGTCCCATAGTCGCTGAAGAAGCTCTTCCGTGTGGCATTCTTTTTTCGGTTCGCAGGCAACTTTTAGCACGTGTGTGGAGACAAAATTGACGCTTGAAAGTTGCGCGCTTTTCTTCTCGCTGGGGACTGGGCCCGATAGTACCCATCCCAGGGTTGTACAGCTCGCCACAGGTCCTTCGCCGTTCTCTCCTCGTCTCGTCTCTCCAGTGAAAAATAACCACATGAAATCAGCGCCGATTAGCATGTCAATTTCTAGATTTTCGTTTCCATGGTCACCGTCGGCTAATTCAATTTCTGTGAGATAAGAAAACTGTTCCTTGGCAGTGTCAATCTCTTGACTTCCGATTGGTGTGCAAATGGTCGGTACAACAAAGGCTTCAATTTCTCGCGATGACCACATGTTCACATTTCTCACGGCAACTTTAACCTTCTCACATTCCGTTGGTTGCCCGGTGACGCCAGATCCGAATGTTTTTATCAAGAGCGATTCTTTACTGATTGTTGGCGAGTTTAGTTGGTCACGTGCGCGTTGAGTAATGTAACTTTTCTGGCTTCCTGAGTCAAAAATTACTCTCGCTCTTATTCCAGTCGAGGTGTTTCCGTTTCCGATGAAGGCCTGTGCGGTTTGTAGCAAAATTGAATCGTGCGATCCCACGTAAAAGGTTCTTGTTTGTGAGGCTTGCGACGGTTGCCGATAAGGCCATGTATTGGTGGTATTTCCGTTGTTTTGGCTAACCATGGATTCCTGCTGTCGTTGTTGTGGTTTCATTGCCATTTCACACAGACTAACGTGATGTCTCCCAGAACACTTTAAACAAGCCATATTTGATGGGCAATCTCTCAAGATGGCTTCTTTTAAGGCAAATAAAACAACGACCCTGCTTTTTAGGCATTCTCTCCTCGCTGTTTTGTTTGTCACCACGTGGCAACTTGCTGTTGGGTGCGGTTGCTTGCAAAATGTGCAATGTGTTGTATTTGAAGGCTGGTTTCCGGAAAACAATGCTGACGCGCTTGTCGGTCCTGATTTTGGCGATTTTGCGTTCCTTCGATCTTCTGGACTGTATAAATTTTCCTTTCGAGCCAGGGCCTGCACTCCTCCACATCTTTCTCTGTTCTCTACTACACTGCGCAGAAGTCGTAAGATTTCAGTGAGGTTCCATTCTCCGTCTTTCATTTCACGGCCCACTAACAGGCGAATATCTTCGGGAATTTTCGTCATAAGCACCGGTACGAGAAAACTTCCATAAGATTCTGTAGGCACTTCTAACGCTTGTAGGCCTCTTACGTGCGCTTCAATTTCATCGTAGGTTTGCCGTAATTTCCGAACGTCCGATGTGTTTCCTAAGGGCGTCAGTTTGAGAAGGCCATCCATGTGACTGCTTATGATTACTTGTTTATTTCCGAATCGATTCTTTAGGAGCTCGATCGCTGCATTATAGTTGGCGTCCGTTAGAGGTAGACCGGCGATTGTCGCGGCTGCAGATCCGTTCAAGAGGCTTTTCAAGTAGTTGAACTTGTCGATGTCGTGCACTTCGGTATTTTCGTGAACAGCGCTCCTAAAACTATCCCAAAATGTCAACCACTGGCTTGGCTCCCCGGAGAAACTCTTTAAACTTATTCGGGGCAGTTTCGCGTGTTTGTTCGCGCTGCCAGCGCTTTCCGCTTTTGAAACTTGGGTCGGTGATCCATTCCCGCTCTGGCTCTTACTTCCATGGAGCGACAGCACGCTTTCGATCTCCACGATAAGCTCCAATATTCTCTCGCTAAACCTTCCTGCGTCGGCGATTTCTTCTTCGATTTCTTCATCCTTTTCTAAGGCGCCCAAAATTGCTTCGTCCAAGTTGCGTAAGATTTCCATACGATCACGAAGCGAAATTTTGATTTGTTTCAACTTGTTTTCCTTTGAAGAATCGAAATCCTTGATTATTTGCTCTGCGTCTCCCATCAGCTTTGTGGCGTACAAGCGATGCCCTTGACGCTTCTGTTTGCTTTTTGAGGCCATTTTCCTATGAGCTCGTTCAAATCCGGCTCGAAGGACCATGTAAAGAATTTTATTGGCTGAATCCTTCTGTGTAACAAGGCTTGATGTTCTAAAGGCGGTAAAGCTCAAAAACTAGTCGTTTCTCTCAATAAACGCTATCCGTACTCAAGACTACAATCAAAGTTCTGCTATGTAACACTACGCCCGGTCACGTAGATCAGATAACATCTAAATTCTAAATTAGTCAAAACAACAAATCTCTGTGCGGTTTCAAGTGTTCATTTTCCTAGGCTATTTCCGCTATTTCTATTGTTCTATTAGTTTCAGTTCAGTGTTCATTGTTCATAGGCTCGATTTCTTGACAGATAATATAGCCTGTGTTAGGTTCTCAGATAGTATAGTTGGAACGTATTAAAACGAGCAAAGCGAAAATAAGACGCGCAAGACTTGGGAAAGGGGGCGGTGGCGCGTGTTTGGCATTTCTTATTACTGAACGACTTTCCACCACCATCTCGGAGCCTGGAACAGGCTATAGATAATAGGGTTCAACTGAATAGCGAAAAGTGTAAAGAACTTAGAATCTCCTTCACTAAAGAGCTGTCTGAGTTCCATCCTATTCTTGTAAATGGTAACCAACTTGAAGCAGTTAGAAGCGCAAAGCTGCTGGGTGTGATAATTACACGCGATTTATCATGGAATGAGCACATTAACAAAACTGTAAAGAAGGCGTCTAAACGTTTGTATTTCCTAGTTCAGCTTAAATGGGCAAAGCTTCCATGTGGGGACTTAGTCATCTTTTATGCCACATGTATAAGATCAATCCTATTTTATGCGGCGCCTGTTTTCTTTTATACTCTGCCCATGTATTTACAGTAAATACGCAGTTCAGCCTCTGGCTGCCTATGTATTTATTGTTAATAAACTATCTAACTATCTATCTATCTAATTGTTACTATGTACTTGTACCTACCTGATAACATTTTTAAACCATTGCGTGTCACTTGTTTGTGGTTTTAAATGAAATACATCTGGTTCAAGGAGTGTTTCATCAAGTGAGAACTTGAATCTCATGGCAGATGTTATTATGTTAGTGGCTCTGACCACCTGTGAAAAGACCAGTACATCTTAATAGAAATGCCGTCAATAAGTTTCTCCAATTTTCCAGCCTGCAGTGCAGGCGATTTCTTTGAGCGCGCAATTTGCTCACGAAAGCGCCATGTTGAAACTTCCCGAAGAGAGGAGGAGATGTGGCGAGTCACCGTAGGGGTTACTATTTCTACTCTCCCCAATCTTCCACTGTCATAAAATCAAAGATGGCAACTACAACAATATTACGAACACAAACAAGGTTTCGCCCACCCAAAATACCCCTGCTCTGCAGGCTACCAATTTTCCGATTTTTTTTGTTTTGCCTTTTTTACATTTCATTATGTAACAGTTAAACTAATAGCATTATAATACAGGCAGAACAAGAATAAAAACGAAAATTACACAAATGATGATAGAGTGAAAAATTTTATTTAATTTTTATTTAATTTTTTTTTAGAGTGAAATGTGTGTAGTGACCAAAGACAGGTACATGCAGCTTCAGTTTCACTTTGGTTGCATAAGAAACAAATGGCAAAAAAAGAGCAAAATGGATATTATATAGATATGCAAATTCAATGCAACTCCCTTGCACTTAGAAAATATTCAGTCACCACAGGTGCTTAGAAATATGTGTATTTTACACAAATCATCAGAACTTTTGAAAATGTCAGAAAAAAAAATGATACTAAACGAAATTTTGTAACTAAGTGAAAACAAATCAAGGAAATTAATTACCGTATTTATTCTTAAATATCAGTGACATTACTTGACATCCTGTTCATTAAATGAGTAAAAGTGCATTACAAGTTTAAAGGTACAGCTAAAAGGTTTAGACTTGATTAAGCAGGTCACCCATAATAAAGTCACAGAGTCACTTAAACTTTAAACAGCAACAGAGCTCATTAATCTAGTACATTAACACATTCACACCGCAATTGGCATCTTACAAGAACCCAAGGAAAGATAATCACAGTATAATAAGAAAGAAGAATTTAGATTAGGTTTTGACACTTGGTTCTAAGTTAAAACTTAGTGATTATAATGGCTTTTGAACAATGGGGCAGGTCTCAGACATATACTGACCCCTTAAGAGTCCTAAAAAGAAGACCCTTTATATGTACATAGCAACCTGTCCATTCACTGTCCAGACATGTTACAGTACACTGTACCTGGTCATTATTTTCTGCTACTGGATCATCTTTAAACATCATAAAAGGATTGTGGTTGAGGACTATGGAGTCTCTGTATGATAAATACATGTCATACCAGGGACCTGTAAAAAAAAATTGATTAGATTACTGAACAGCACTGGTATTCTCCACGATAAAAAGGGTTTTTTGACAAGTATAATACCTGATATGTAACTAGTATGTTTGTTTCTCTTGTTTTTCTGTAAAAGTTCAGCATTTAGACCTGTGTAGAAAAATGCAAAATCAAGGTCATACGCATGTACCTGTTATGTATCAGGAGATCTAATGGCCACTATCACACCACAGTAGGATAATCCATCTAAACACATCAGTTTAACCAGTCTCATAAACTTTCGGTCTTAAAGTGAATTTGAGACTGACAAAATTCTATCATCCGTGATTGAAATTATCGAAGGATTGATCACCTATTCAAAGTTTGAGTGCAGTTACCATTCCATTATAACACGTGCAGAGTGCATATACTTTTAGCAGAGAAATATATACGTAGCCTGAGAAAGAAGGCAACATTTGAAGGTACCACCACTGGTTTTCTTGCAAAATGACCTGATAAACAGTGCAGAAATTCCACACTGATGACATCACACTTCCAGATCAGGGTTAAAAAGTGCTTATGATTGGTCAATGCAATTATTTCTCATGCAGCACAAACAATCAGAGGCACTACCCAGATCTGGGTATTGATATGTAATTCAGTATGTAATAGAGAGGAGAAGTCGTTACCTCACGTTGCCATGGTAGAAAAATTTTTGGATGACAACAAACAGAAAATTCACTCAAAAAGTAAATTCACAATGTTTCAAACTTCATCTTATTCAATTTCATTTAATTTGTCAAATTTAGGCGAAATTTTCTGGGCTAAATCTGAAAGGACCGTATCTGAGTTAAGAAGAAGAAAAAGAAACTTTTTGTATTGTGTTCACCTACTCCATTTTGCTACCATGGTAACATGATGTCACATTTCTCCTCTCTCTTTCTACACTCATTCTACAGATATCATTTCTCTGGGAAACTAATGGTAATGTTGCAAAATGTTGGCTAATTTCTCAGACTAGTATAAACCTGTAAAATAATTTAATAATTTATTTTTCCCTGCCTAAAAACAAAGAGAGTGCTTATGCATCACATGTACAGTTACTAGACATTTCAATCACAGCTTGTTTTGTTTTGTTTGTTTGTTTGTTTGTTTTTTGTTTTTGAGTTCCTTTTTTTGCATGCCATGAATAAGAATTGATCCATGATAGATGGCTTTATTATATTTTTCCAAGGGCACACCCTACTACAAACAGTCAGTCTGTCATACGCACTTCAAATAGACAACTATGAAAGTGTTTCTTTGGGAGCTGTACAAAATTAATATTAATAATATAACACTGTACCTGGACCTTCATGTTTCTGAAACTTCTCAACAAGGCGTTTAGTCTCTTCATATTGTTCAGGAGTTAAAAGTGGTTTTTGGGCATCCAAATATCTGTTGCACGTATCTTCTAGTTTTGGAATTGGTAACCCTGGTAAGCTGTCTTGGAAGTGATATGTGTGAACTATGGTCTTTGGATCAATGTATCTATCTTCTACACCTGAACTGAGAAGAAGAAACATACCAAGATCAGCTTGGGTGTGGAAACAGGTCAATTCTAGCTTCATCAATTTGGCTATTGTCAACTTTCCTAGCTACCACTTATTTTGGCAGGGTTAATTTAGGCCCAGGGCAAATGCTGAACCTTCCATGTACTGAACCTGATTCCTTTATTTAAAAATAAATGAATCAAGGATTAAGGTTTGAAGCAATCTAGACCAGTATATCTAATTTGGGTTGAACCTTGAATTAAGTTTGCCTGCACCACATGGCCATTGTCAAACTTTTCATGTGCTCAGTCTAATGCATAAATTATTTTAATATTTTGACTGGTAATCAATTTTGAATTTAGTCTGACTTATTAAGTTCAATGTGTGAATGGACAGACGAACCAAAATAGGTAACAAGTTTGGTACATGAAACGTTAGACATTTGAACTGAGCCTCACCTACCACCCTAGTTTTAGGTATCAAAAGTCCTGTAAGAAAGATTTGGTAACAGGACTAGAAGCAAACTATATTTCATCTTCTCTGATGTACATGAAGTGACCATAACAGGACAGTCTGGCTCAGTTGTTAGAACCCTGGTTACAGCGTGCCCAGGAGTTTGGGGGTTTGTTTCCCAGAGTTTTGGCTTTTAACATGTTTATTTCAAGTCACTATAATTATAACTGACTTGAGCATTCAAGTCAATCAATTAAACTTTGCATTGACCACACACAACTTTTTTGATCTTGAAAGAGGATGAATTCAGATGAAATCCTCCACATACCTGTAACATCTACGCTGGTTCCACCATCCAGTCAGTGCAGATGGAAGGAAAAAGGAAGCAGGACCCTGAAAGATCAGAAAGTTATACAGTGAAACCTGTACTAGGTGGACCCCTTGGAGAATGCCCTAGGGTCTGCTTAAAGGGTGTCTTCTGCCTAATACAGGTTTGGTAAGAGAACATCATATGAGGAATCAGATACCATTCAAATGAACAGTGGAAGTATTAGGAATACTCCCAAAGAGTATGACAATATAAGTTTACATGGATTTCATTGTCTGTGTAGACCGATAATCAAAATTTATATTTTATTTATTTACTTATTTACCAGCTTTTCTGGACTCAGGCCTGCCAAGAGGGAATGTGCACGAACGAGACTCAGGTCCCATGCGAGGTGCCATCCCTACTCAATCCCAAAACCCGTAAAGATTGGCCACACCACCAGGGTCTACGACCCCTGCTCCTTTCGAATAGTGAAGTGGGTTCTTTTACGTCCCACAAGAACAACTCTGTGAAAGTGCTGTGAAATGGGACCTACGGTTTTTCGTCCTTATCCGAGACGACTAGAAAGTCTAACCATTTGCAGATGTCATTACAAAGGCAGCACTTTCTTCGCAGTTTTTTAATTTAAAGACCCTGAGTGTTGGTCCGGCCGGGGTTTGAGCCCACAACCTTCTGCTCGGCAGACCAGTGCTCTCCCAACTGAGCTAGCCAGGCGGTGGTTAGCACTTTAAAGAAAGATTGTACCTCAGTTTTAAGAGATCAAATGAGCAAAACAAGCTCTATACAAACAAAACAAAATAAAAATACTGTAAATCTGATCAAAAGGTTAATGAAGGCTGTCAGTACACATTGTAAGCAGGTGAGTTATTTTCTTGTAATTATTTGAACGATAAACTGACCAACTAGGGGTTTATTGTTATGTATACCAACTTTTAAAGCTTCACATGCGTACAGGTATACGTGTATTTCCAGTTTCTTTTTTCCTTGAGTATTCAATGATGTTAACGCAAATTAATACATCTTTTGTCAAGTATGATCTTAATTGATGATCATAAAATTGGCAAATTTGTGGGTGGAAATCTTTAGAATTTTAGGTGGAATTTTGGATGGTGGAATCACACGTGTCAGTTAATACAGGTTTTTATTATATGGCTACAATAGTATGCATGCTCTAATTGGCTGCTAAAGTGGGCAGTATTTTCTTGAAATGACCGGGCATTTACTACATGTAGCTAGGTGTCCAAGGCATATACAACCTGTGTTTAACTTGATAGTGGACATGCATCCTTATGGACATCCATGTTGTGGTCAACTGACAGCAGTCAAAAACCACTGACCAGTATCACATGACTGTATTGCAGGCCCAAGTGTACAACTCATTGAGGTGACGTGTTTTTTAAGTTATCCACTGACCAGTTATTTTTTAATTGATCAAAGGCTCAGGTCCATAATGATTAATAGAGGCATCAGCTTAATAAAGGTTCCATTTACAGTAGATAAATGGAAATAAATTTGTCACCTCGGGCTTCTTTCTGCTTAAAAGATTTTGTCAGCTTAATACAGTGTCTGCTTAATACAGGCTTCACTGTAATCTGTTTCTATGGAAATTTCTGTGACAATATGATATGATCAGTTTTACTTGTAGCACGAACTGAAGGCCATTCCATATCCACAAACTCATCCCTGCCGACTGTCACCCCCACCCCATTAATGAGATGGTTTTTAACAAGCCCCTTCGGAGAATTTATTCCCGGAGTTAGCCCCATAGAGAAATTAACATTTATTCTTTCCAGTAAACCTTAAGAAACAGCATAAGTTTTAATACATGCATGACAGAAAATGTAGCAACATTATATTTTGCCGCTGTCATGTGCATTTCACATTCACCAGAAGTTTCAATGAACAACCCAACAGCTTAAGTTTGTGTACCTTGATTTGCAATACTTTCAAGGAAGGTCATCCAAATTTCCTGCAGAACATCTTTCTTTACAGTTGGAATGATTATTACTCCCTTTTTTATCACTATAATTCTTCCTGTACAGTATTTTGGGTCAGCAGCTTTCACTTAAGCATAAACATCATGGTGTTGTACGAATTTACGGTCCCTGGTCATGTATATCGAAAACTTCGCATCTAAAGTTAAAGCATGAGGTCTCTCGCATGGAAAAAAAGGTTCAAGATTGCAATTATGTTTTTGGGTCATTGACGACGTTCCAGAGAAGGAAGGAATGGATTTGTGCATGTGAAAGCAGATGTCGTCAAGTAAGTGTTCGTTTACATGTATCTGCGGGATTTTTTTGCCCTTAAACCCTTACATGACTACAGTTTATGCTCGGTCTGCATTTTACCCCAGCCTGCGTTTTACTCTCAGTCTACAGTCTGCATTTTACACACAGTCTGCATTTTACCCCTGGTCTGCAGTCTCCAGTCCTCAGTCCACAGTCTGTGTTTTACACACTGACTGCTTCCAAACATTTACTTAATATGTTTTACAGCAACTCTTCCTCAGAAAAGATACACCAACTGCAGCTATCATGATATGCAGGGAGTCAGGAAAACTAAGACACTAGCTACATCCGATCCACCATCCCCAGATCGATGATCCAACCTTCCATTTATCTCTTCCTCAATTCATTCTTGGTATTTTCCCCCTTCAGAAACGTACATTTCGGATAAAAACTCCCCTAAGCAAAAACCCCTTCCAAGAAATCACCCCCTCCAAAAATTAT